GATCTGCTCAGGCTAAAAGCGCTACGGCCGCTCAGCTGAGGTGACAGCTGAGGTGACAGCTTCCCTGCACCCCGAGGGACCGCTCCCGGCACCTCTGCCCCAGGCCTGCCTTTCTCTCTTGCCTTCAGCACTGTTAATTAAACTTCAGACTGCAATTAAACCTCCTTGAGCAACTCCACCCCCAAGTCCATACCCTGCCTGGCATGGTGTCCTGGTGGCATCACTACTGTCCCCCCCCAGCCCGAGGCGCAGCAGGGACGGGACACTCACCACTGGTTGTCCTGCATCAGCTCCGTGTTTGCATCCGAGCTCTGCAGTTCCTCCCCGCGGCTCAAGACCAAGTAGAGCAGGGACAGGCCGAACTGCAGGGAGAGAGGAGGCTGTCAGGGGGGAGATGTCCCACTGGTGCTGTCACCTCCCATCGCTGTCACATGCCACCGCTGGCACCCCGAGGGCTGTCCTGCCTCGCGAGGAAATCCCTGCAGCAGGGGATGCGCAGGGCAGGGTGAGCTTTTCTCCCACCGCTCCTCCCCTCTGAATATTTTTCGTCTGAGTCTGAGAATCACCTCCGCCTCCCCATCCTCCTGGGGACAGTGGCACAAGCAGGAGGGTCCCCAGCTGCCTTCGCAGCCCTCTGAGGAGGATAAGGAGGGGGGTGTTCGTGGGCCTGAGTCACGGCAGACATGTGTGAGGGACAGATGCTCTGTGCCCAGCTCGGAGGGACATCACCAACTCACAGCCCTGGGTTTCAGGGCAGGAGCCTGCAGCCCAGCAGGACAGACAAGTGACCCGGCTGCCAGACTGCAGCGGAGTCCCAGGCCAGCTCAGACGGCTAATTAATCTGCCAGACACCCTCGTTAATGAGCAAGGGAAGGGGAAAGCGCCAGGAGCTGGCAGTGCGCAGCTCCTGTGCTGCTCCTGCACCACGGCGGCATCCAGCTCTGCCATCCAGCACCGAGAGGCTGCTGGGGGACGCGGTTTGCCAATTTGGGGTGACATCAGGACCTGCCAGGGCAGGAGGGACGAAATAGCCCTATCTGTCCCCCCCGTGCTGGCTCCCCCGGGGCGCAGAGCGAGGGCGAGGGGAGCAGCACCTTGTTTTGGAGCACAGCAGCGAGGTGCAGGTTGGTGGGCGCCGGCGCGGTCGCGCTCTGAGGTAGGTTCGTTAGCTGCTGCACAAGGCTGGTGACCGTCCCCAAGGGCAGGTGGTAGAGAACGTGGGAGAAGGGCCTCAACAGGCAGGGCAGCACCTGCGGAGAGAGGAGCGGAGCCGTGAGAGCAGGGAGACGCGCTTCCCCACGGCCTCACGGAGCCTGACGAGACACAGCCCCGGCGGCACTGCTGCTTTGGCCCCCCCTCACACGCTGCTCGGGGTGGGATTGCTAACAGCATCCCCCCACACCCCTGCCTTGAATTCAGCAAGTCTCTTCCCTTCTCACACCGTCCCCTTTCTCAAAACAAGCTGGAATTTATTTCACAGATGCCGGTATTTTTGTTCTATAGATAAAGATTACGAAGGACAAGCTG